GGGGGGGGCAAGTTTTTCACTTTCCTTCCAGATGTTTGGCAAAAGTATTGAGAAAAAATGGGGTGGGGAGAGGGTCCACAGAGACAAGCCAGAAATACCACAAGAGAAGACAGCCAGAGGAGGACACACAGAGAGAGAGGCTCTTGGGCGGCCCCACTGCCCAGGCCCAATGGCCCTCAAGACAACTGACTCTGGATGTCCCACGGGGACTCCAGCCACCCACAAGCACAACCAGTGAGACACTACCCAGTCCCCTTTCACTCATGATGGGTGAAACCAAGACCCAGGGCAGAGGACACACTCAGGGTCACACAAACTTCTGATCTCGTTCCTTTCGTCCACACATGACTGCCATCTCTCAGAAACCACTCGACACCAGCTTGAACAGGGGTAGGTGAGTGACATAGGGCTCCTGACCGGCAGCTGCCAGGTCCGTGCTACGGGGTGGGACAGGCTGATGCAGCCAGCCGGAGCCACACTGCACCACGTCCTCTGCTTGGGAGAATGTCGGGGGGGGGGGAGGGAGGCCTCTGTCCCCTTCCCTCATGCACAGGGCAAGTGCGGTCCTGCAGTGGGGACATTGTGCACAGAGCCACCTTCCACTGCCTCCCGAGGGCTTAGACGGAGGCAGGGGCCAGGTCTTTGACTGCTGAGCTCTGGTTCCTGGGAGCCACAGCATCCCCAGGGCTCACCCTGCGGGACCTCTCTCAACCTCAAGCTAATGCCCAGCCCCCAGCAGGAGCTCTGCAGGGATCAGCCTCCTCCACTGCCAGCAGGACAGGCTGTTGAGGCCAGAAGCAAGGCAAGGGGTGGGCTGGTGGGCAGGCAGGTGAGCAGTAAGGAGGGCCACTCTAAGGTTTGGCTCTCCAATCTCTCTCCCAGGTCCCAGCCTGAGCTCTGTGTCCCTTAGGAAGGACAGCCTGCAGGCAAGATCCTGGCAGGGCCTGTGGGGTCTGGAGAGCCTGGCTCTTACCCCTCCAGTGCCCCCAGCCCCGGTGTCTGAGTGGTGACCGGTCTGATGCAGACTCACAGGTACTACAGTCCAGAGCCTTCTGGGGGCAACTACCTTGCCCCCCTCTCTCTCCAGCCAAGGGGAATGCTGGAGAAGATATGGGCCCTAACTTCTGAGGGGCCCATG